AAGACTCGCTCGAGGAAGAGGCAGCCCAAGAAGCTGAAGGTGTCGAGGAAGATAGTTCCAGCTCGGATCTTCCCGACACGCGGGCGCCCCAAGCCGCGGTCAAGGTGAAGGAGGACGAAGAGCCCGCTGGTGGGGCCCAGGCCGGGAGCATAGAGGAAGGAGTCCTCGAACTTGGCCAATCGGTGGTCAGCACCGCGAAGGAGTACCTCGCGCGGTCCGAAGCTCTTCTGAGAGCGCAGAAACTCCAGTCGAGAATACTGGAGGTGGCGGGAACCGCGATGGTGAAGTTAGAAAAGATCACCAAGCGTGAGGAATCCCTCAAAACTCTGCGCCGTGGGGGAGAGAATCGGGCGGCCGGGGAAGGCGCCGACGGGGAAGAGGTGTCTGACGATGGTCAGGATGCCCCCGGGGGTGCGGGATCGAGCAGTTCCGCCAGGCCTTCAAGAGGCGGGACCGTCCGGTCCCCCCAGAGGTGCCTCGCCCCAATGCGGACGGCCACTCTGGATGCTCAGCTCCTGGATGCGGGCTGGCCTTTGAGTCGCTGGTGCAATACCACTTGCATCAGGCGGCCTGCCATGGCGCCTCTCTTCCGCCCAACCTGGGGATCAGCCCCTCCGCACCTCTGGACCCTTTTCGTCAAGACTGGCGGGGACGGTTGTTCCGCCGAGGAAAGGACGGTGGGTATGGGGAGGTGCCCATGCTCCGAGTGATTCGGTACCACAAAGCCAACGGGTACGATCACTCGAAGGTCCCGCTCCTGAAGAGAGGGGACCGAATCCAGCTTGAGGACGGATCGCACCACATTTATGGTGGTAGTCATCCACCGGGGTGGCTTCGGGATGACCCCGAGCTGGATCCCGCTCCAGAGAGTAGCGGTGGAGGGTCCACGCCCAAGAGCGAGCCCACGGAGGAGGCCGAGCATGGACCTCCGCGGGAGGCCGCTCCGCGCGGGCGGGCCCTCGGGCCGCCGACGAGCGACGTTCAGCAACGCCTGGCAGAGCGTCGTCGTTCCAAGCGGGATTACTCGCCAGACCTGGTGACGCCTCTTGACGATCTCCATGCCCAGGAGATCGATTCCTTCTTCGCGGGCGACCCAGCCGCGGATAGCCTTGACGTCATTTTGATGCGCGCCGAGGTTCGCACTGAGTCCCACCTCAACGTTGGCCGGGAGCAAGAAGAGCCCCTGGTCAAGGAGGAACAGGAGGAGGAAGCTGAGGTTGTCAAGGACGAGGACGGTTGAGATGGAGGCAGGCACCGCGGATGAGGCGGACGATGTCGCCCTCCCAGCCAACCGGGCCTACGTCGAAGGCCGCTTTTACCCCTACGGCAGCTGGCGGTGCTTCTTCTGCGAAGCCATCAACCCGGTTGCCGAGGACCAGTGCCTCACCACGCACGCGGGCGGCCCGAAAGCGGGCGCCCCGTGCGACGGCCGATGGATCAACGGGATCGACATCGGGTGGTGGGAGGTAGACCCTCAAACCGCGCCCGAGCAATGGAGGCGGAGGTTTTCTGCCGAAGCGCTTGAAGACCAACAAGCGCGGGCGGATGCCGCGAGGCTTCTCAGCGATGAGGAACTCGCTGAAGCCCTCCAGGCGGCCGAGGAGGCGCAGGCGGCCGAGCGCGCCAAGAAGCGAGAGCGGCGCCAGGCGGAGAAGGCGGAGCGCGATGACCACATCAGCGAAGCGCTCCGCATTGCAGGGTGGCAGTGCCCTAACTGCTATGAATGGAATCTTTCATTCAGGCAGCTGTGCTTTCGCTGCAGCACCCCTCTCCGTTTGGCAGAGGTCGTCTCTCGCGGGATCCCTGATCCGCGGCGTGGCGAAGAGAGGGACTCTGGCTCCGAAAGCAGCCAGGACGAGCTGGAGCACGAGATCCTTCTGGCCAATCTTGCGATGGACCAAGAAACCATCCAACCTCTTCTTAGAAACAAACACAAGAAGAGGGGCGGTAAGCGACGTCGCGAAGAAGCGACGTACGGCAAGGGCCGCGACCCTTGGAGTGCTTGGGCAGATGCCCGTGGCAAGGGCCAGGGCAAGCCGAAGGGCAGAGGCAAGTCCGATGCCAAGGGCAAGCCCAAGGGGAGGGGCAGGTACGCCTGGGGCGCTTACGCCGCGGGCATAGTTGCCGCGCTCCAACCCCGCCCAAGCACAAGCTGGGTCCCAGCCTTCCCGTGCGGGTCGGCCCGGCCGCCGCCAAGTGTTCCGCTTCCGCCGCGGACCCCCTTTTTCCTGGGTCGCGGGCTCCTCAATCGGTTGATGCACGCCCTCAACGGGAACATCAACGGCTGGTGGGGCCTGGCGGCTGCAGCGTCGGCGCCGATTGCCTTGCAGTTGCACCGCGGGGCTGTGCATGTTGTCGAGGACTCCATGCACGCGGTTGCAACAATTTCGGCCGACGTTGTCGAGGAAATCGGTCATGGGGCCAGGCGGACCGTGTGGGTCGCCGGAACAGCCATCACTCTGGTAGTAGTGATCTTGTGCAGCGCTGTTCTGTGGTACGTGAGTCGTGCCGTTGCCAATCGCATTGCGCATCTGCGACATGGCAACACCGCGGCCCCTGAGGCGCGGCTGTCTCAACTCCTTGGCTCTGAAGCGACGTTTGAGGTCGCGAGCACTAAGAAAGGGGTGACCCATAAAGTTTGGGTGCACCTCAAGGAGGAGACAGCTGCCTGTGGCTGTCGTGCTTACCTAGCAGAGGGACGTTGCGGGCACTGCGATGCCGCAATGGACACCGCTCGATCCCTAGGGTTTTTGCACGCGGCCCAGCGAGGCGCGGGTTCTGCGCTCACAGACTCCATTCGGAGTACCGCCTCCGAAGCCCTAGCTAAGGGTAAGGTTGTGTTGGGTTTGGGGAACAGTGAAGGATGCTTCTCCCAACTTGCGGCCAAGAGCCGCGGGCTCTCCTGCTTTCAGGGGCTCGCGGGTCGTGACCTGGCCGCGGCCCCCCAGCAGATGGAGCGAGCGCAGCCCACGCACAGTCCGGCTTCGTGCAACGTGCCGCCACTGCCACTGTGGCGCGCACACCCAGCCGGAGGAACAAGGGCCCAGTCCCCGCTAGGAGTTCTCCAGTCAAAGAAGCGGAATTCCTTGCGGGCGGGCCATACGTTCAGGCCGCCCAAACGCTGCTTGGGTCTGGAGCAGCAGAGGATGTGATCTACATCCGGGCGCACAGCTTAGATTGCCCATCCTGCATCGAGGCAATCGAAGCGTCGCTTAGCAAGGGCGCAGGCGTTCGGATTGTCGCCGACATGGGACAATGCCACCGCACCAAACTGCAGTGGCAAGCGTTGAAACGCTTGGCGGCTGCAGGCGCCGAGGTGAAGGTGGGTTGCGGCACATCCGTGCGCGACGCCTATGCTCGCGACGGCCGCGGGGCTAAAGTAGGTACCGGTATCCAAGGGCTTCACCATGCCAAGGCCCTTTGCCTACTGCGGCCTGATGGCGCGGTGGTGCTGATTGGGAGCCTCAATTTTACCACAAGCAGCAAAGCCAATGCGGAGGCAGGGCTTAGGCTTGAGGTCCCCAAGACGCACCCGGTCGCGCAGTCCTACATCGAGGATTTCCAGAGGGTGTCGGCTGAGGCATTCTCCCTCGATGAGGCGGTCGCAAGGCGCCCTCAGTTGGAGCGAGCCAGTAGCTCCAACGTTGCTGGCAACGCCACTCGTGCCCCCAACACTGCTCCACAGGGTATCGAGTAGGCTGCGGCCAGTCGGCGCGGCGTGGTATGCATCCACGCATTATCAGAGCAGGCGTTGCAGCACGGCACGTTGCTTCGCCAACCTTTTGCATTTTCTTTTGCTTGACTGCGGGCGAAAAGCCGCGGCAGGTTGGAAACCTGCCCATTTTGCATTCCCCGCACCTTTCTCCTCCGCCCTGCCTGTGGCCCCTCGTGCTGAGGGTGCTCTTTTGCAGGTGCTGCGGACCGTGTCCTGGTCGCGGCAATGCGCTCGCCGAAGCGCGTGTGAGCTGCATTGCCTGCGGCACAAGCCATGTGCGCGGCTCTCGCTGAGTCCGGTAGCCCGTAGGGTAGTTCCAGATAGGTGAGTAGCCGTAGCCGTAGCTTAGGACCGGAAGTGTACAGTGTACCATAGTTTGTACCCTAGTCTGCGTACTGGCAGCTAGAGACCAGCTCGAGGATTCAAGAGCCTCGCCCACCAGCAAAAGGGTGAGGACCTCCTGGGAAAGGGTGGTTAAGGGCTGCTGAGGGTTGCTGTCGTCGTGCGTTCGTTGTGGTGGTGCGGGCTAGCGTCCCTGCCGCATGCCAATGCTCATGATGTGCGGACCACCATGGTCGCACGCGACACCCTCGCCCTTCCCTTTCTGTGTTCAGCGCGAGTGCCTGCTGCACTCCGAGCTCGAGATGAGCTGGAAGCCTCGGCTGAGGGGCGAATGTGAGCAGGTCTAAGCACGCACGTTCCATGTGCAGAGCTGCCAGAACCAGTACTGTAGTTTTCCTTTGCATGTGTAGATTTGCAATTCGTATCAATGCCAATATTTTGGCTCAAGTACCGAGCTTGTGCCTTTGAGCACGGTAGAGTCGTACAGTAGCTCCTAGGTTGCTGTGCGGTCCGACCGGACGCACTCAGGCGTAGCTGCACAAGTGCTTGGACTCACGAAGTCGTAAAACAGCGTGACCGGGCTGTGATTGCATTGGCTTAGTGCAAGTCCAGTGCTGGTCGACTTCACAATATACATATATATATATATATATACACATACATATTTACATACACACATATATACATGCCCTATATATATATATAATACACACACACATATATATATATATAACCTATATACATATATACATACATATACATATTTATACATATATATATATACATATATATATATATATATATATACATGCATACATATATATATATATATACATATACATACATATACATACATATACATACATATACATACATATACATACATATACATACATATACATACATATACATATATTTATATAGGCTGCAGAAAATGCTCCAGGCAAGAAGGGCTGTGGCAAGGTTCCATGGGACAATCTTTGCAACGCGAAGGCCAAGGTGGAGGCTCAGAAGGACACCGGCCTTGGCACATCACAGACTGCCGAAGTGGCTTACTTGGACAAGCTGGGTGTGAAATACAAGGAGCATGACATCAGCGAATTCGAAGACTTCATGTTCAAAGGCTTCAGCGGCAGTACGAAGGTGTCCCTTTGAGACGGCCCCTTTCACATTTCGTTTCTGAGCATATTGTGAGACGCGTAGCGGTCGGGCACCGCCATCCGTTTTGCTGGAGGCCGAGGAAGGCGTTCTAGGTCTGCAGTTGCGTTGTACAAACCAAGCGATTGAATAGAGGCGTAGGTTGGACACGCTGTAGAATGGCCTGCGTGTGTTGCAAAAGCTCCGCCTAACGCAAAAGGTGACGATCCGAAAGCTTGTCAGATTGTACACCCTTTTCTCGGCTTTGGGCTTTGCAAGTGCCACATGCTCACTGTCCTGGAATACGTGCACGTTGCCCCAGGTGTGTGCTGTGCTTGTATCATTAGAGTCCATTCTACTATTTGCCGAGGTTGTGCAAGATGAAGTACGAAAACAACTGCCTATTCCTGACGGTGCTGGTGCTCAGAGGGTGAAATTTGTTCCGTGTCAGCGTGAAGGGCGGATGGCAGACAGGTGTTTGTGATTTTGCGTTTGGATTATGATGTCCAACTCGCAACATTGCAAACAAATTCGATGCCAGCCGCCTTGGCTGGCAGACCCAAGCTTTCAAGCCCGAAGGCCCTTAACCTTGAAGGCCCGGTTTCGTTTCCTGCCAAATGACAGGTGGAGAGCGGATTGGCCAAGATTCGGTGTTGATGTCCCTTCCCCGTCACTAGTCAGAGAAGCGAACTAAGTAACTAAGGCCCGCACGAGCATTGCATACAGCAACACGTTTCTGTCATTTGTTGCTTGCACTTAGCCCGAACAGCCTGCAGCAAATGACCCAGAAATCAACCCTGAATCCCGAACCTCGCTACCATGTGCTTGGTGGCCTCACACCGACCCTTGGAAGGCTGAAGCCTGCCGCTGCGTTGTTGTGGGGACTCCAACAAGGACGATGCCCGTCTCAACCACGCCAGGCGACTCATGTCAAGCCTAAAATTTGATGGCTGAACTGCTACCCTTCATCGCCTCAGTTCATGATGTGTTTCCGTTTTGCGCTCGAGCCTTACATGGGCATCCGTAGTCATCTGCAACGTTCCGGCATGGCGTGCCCCTCCATGGAGTTCGGAGTTTGCGGCCTGGACGTCACATGTTCCAAAGAGACTCTGCGCAGGTTAGGGCAGATAGTCAAATCAGGTTGCTGGGGGTGCTGCCATGGGACGCCAAAGAATGCCCAAATCAAAAAGAATTTACGCTATTCGCATCATCTGCTTGTGTACTTCGGTTCGTTTTGGCCTGCTGGCAAAAGTTGGCTCTGGTTCCAAAGCTGCCCAATTGTCAAGGTACGTAGCTCAGTTTCTTACTCAACCAGGTCTGGGGCCTCAAAGTGGGAAGTCTGCGAAATCACCCTGACAGGGTCATGACTCCACCGCCGAAGTGCCGGGTTGTGCCAGTCGCAGCCTTTCAGCTGGCCTACCAGGGCTTTCCGTGGCAACCAGCGTTGGGCTACGAGCCTGGGTCTCCTTTGAAGGGGAGGCGCTACCCCAATGGTGAGGCTTATCCTGCGTGGCATGAGATTGATGACATGATTGAATCGATGCCCGCAGGAACTCGGCTTGCTTTCCACCTGAACGAAACTGACAAGTACCCCTATGTCAGTTCGTTGCTGCAGGGTGTTGATGACTTTCTTCGGTTGGTGGATGTACTCTGCAACAAGTACAACGCCCGCCACATCCAGATCAACATCAATGCACGCGGGGTGCCCCCTCAGCTGTTCACCACTCCTGGTGCAGAATCGGCGAAGAGTGCGCAGCAGATTGCACGTCTGGCCAACCAATATCCGCAGTCATTGTTCCTCGTTGCAGTTTTCCAAAGAAAAGATGCTGATGGCACGGTCCTTTCCGACTCCTGGCCGTTCATGCGCGCGGTCCTGGAGAGTTCGGCGGCCCAAAGTTCAGAAAGGCAGCCAGCAAGGACAGGTGTGCTTAGCATGGCTGTTTCCATGTTGACGTTGATTGCCAGCTCTTGTGTTTCAGTCCTACACAAAAGTATACTAGCAGCAGCGTGACCATGAGCGTCACTAGGAACATCGTGCCCTTCTTCGACAATTCTGCCGGCACGGGAACGTCTCCAGATATCGTGCCTGAAATGCCGAACGAATTCCTGCGGCGAGAGGGCCAGGCCACCAGGGCATGGTGTTGAACAAGCCAGGTAGCTAGGTGCCCAAAGTAGATGGGGTCAAAAGAAAACCTTACACAAATTGAGGGGATTTATTGATCCACTGTGAACCCATTGACATGCCAAGATTCTTTGCCTTCCCCCTTTGATGATCAGACTGTGGGAATGACGGGTGGCATCAATGCCTCCAACGTCAAGGACTGGCTCACCAAGTACGCGGCCAAGGCCACTGAACTGTTCCGCAGCTCGGGGACTTTGGGGGGCCTCACTCCATTCCACCCTGAAAGAGTTCAGTTTAGATCTACAGCAGAGGATTTTCCACGTGTCCATGTCTGCGGCGACTGCCGGTAAGGCAGGAGAGCACGGCTATGGCTGCATCAGTGATGCCATGACCGGCTTCCGCGAAAGCAAGGACAGGGGCAAGCCTATCGTCGAAAAGGCCTTGGAGGACCTCATGAAGAATGTGTACGAGCCCGGGCTCTTGTGGCAAGCTTTGCTTCTTCAAGCAGACAGCAGCCTACCCGTAACAGAGCTGATATACCTCTCAACTTCCGCAGTACTCCCCCATCCCCAAGCCACAAGCGGCAAGTTGACCCAGGAGTGGGGCAAACTGGACCCTGCGGCAGGGTATGCTGCAGCTCGACATGGACTTTGAGTAGTCGGGAACATATCAGGAATGGGGTGATTTCGAGTTTTGGCCGCGACCTGGATGGGTAGCCGCTGCAACGTAAAGAGCCCGATGCATGCAAGATACCACGGCTTCCGGGTAGACTGAACGTTGCGGGTGGGTGGGTGGGTGGGTAGGTTGCGCATAGAACATTTGCGTATGATGCTGTCAAGCTGGCTGCAGGAAGAAGTGCCCACACTTTGCTTCCATGATTGTGATAACTTACTGTATCTGACCGTCTTCGAGGTTCGAGGTGAAAGGCCCTTTTATTGGGGGGGGTGGGGGGCGGGGGTTTGGGGGGGAGGGAAGGTGGGGCGTGGCAGACTGAAGTGCCCGCTGGTCCTGATGCATCGTCTGCTCCCGGACACTTGTCGGCTAGGGGGGTACCCATTTCAGGCCAAAAAGTGCAAAATAAAGGGGTGCAAGCCTGGTCCCTTGGCCGTCCCTTGGCTGTGGGGAGGGGATGTATCGAGGACTGACTTAAACTAAGAACATCCTGAAGACACAACTGATTGGATGGATAAACCCGGCATAAACTTAGTTGAGGACCAGAATTCAGCCCGGCCAAGAGCTCCGCTTTGTTCGGCCGATGCTGCCGAATTCTGAGAACCATTAGGCTCGGCCTCTGAGATCTTCATCTGCCCGGTGATCAGCTGGCCAGTCTCACCGAGCAGTCCAGTATCGTTTCACAAACGTCTTCTGTACTCATGTCAGGAATGTCTTAAAATGTCTGAAACAATCCGCGCTGAGCACTAGCCGCAAGTCACTAGTTATGAAAGACGTCATAGAAATCGATTTCGTGTTGCGTACAGCATCTGTACAACCAGGACATGCCACGACCGCGAAGGGTTCATGGTCGCCCGTTGGTAAGCCTCAGGACCAGGAGGCATCGGAGCCAGACTGACGAGACCAGGGCAGCACGAATGACCACGATGGGCGCAAGCTATGGCAAAAGAAAAAGGCTCCGGCACATTTTTTGCTTTCGAAGCGATTGTAGGATTTCGTCGTAAGGAATGTGTGGGTTCCGACTGCAGGATGGTTCCTCAACTGGAAGGCAAGGGCTGAACAACTGGGTGGGTTTACAGCGGGCTGCTTTTGTTTGAGGAGGTCTGAACTTATTCTTCTCACAAGAGCAGTGGCCAGTCGCTCTGTAGACTTGTACGTGGAAACACGCAGGAATAGATGCAGTCTGTACTGTCAGCACTGCCATTACAGTCCTTTGTAAGCTTCGTATTCGAACCAACTACGACTACCGCCACTACTGCAAAGTGTCGGCTCCTCGCATTGCTTCACGCAGCAGTGTGTCAGGTAACCGACTCTTTTGTGGCTACAGGGCGAAGCTGAGCGCTTAAGATTGAAGCTGTGAACTGTGGTCATGGCACCCACTTCTTAAGAGACTTTCTCGATCGCAGGCATTCGCCGGCGCTATACGTCACGTGTGGACCGTGCTTGCGCTCAGGTGGGTCGGTGGGGTCATGAGTGCGTGTGGATATTGTGGCACTTGCTGAGGGGTGACCTTGCCGCATGTCTGGAAGACGTGGAAACATGCTAGAGTCCTGTATTATCAGCATGGCCCCTCTATTTGTAAGAGAGTATCGTCATGAAACCAACCAAGCAAGCATTTGTCTCGGAGCATATTTGTGTAATTTGATGGGTGGTGTGACTGCGGGCTGCCATAGGGCCGCAGGGTCTCCTTGAAGAGTGTTTCAAGCGAGTATTTCCACGCATCATCTCTTCACCGTACACAACTACCGCTGAGATCTGAATTGCAGGTCGAGTATCATCTGGCAGCTCGTTGCTGCCTTCTTTTTGCGGGGCGGGGGTGGGGGGTTATTCCCACATCGGTGACGCGAATCTGAATGTCTGTGTGATGTCCGTATGTACACTGCCCACGGGCATGAGGCAAAAGTTGCTCCCCAGGTCTGCTGTGGGGCCACTGAGTGCCTGAGAGATTTGTGGTGGTCAGGCAGAGAGCGAGAGAGAAAGAGAGAGAGAGAGAGAGAGAGAGAGAAGGAAAGACTCATGCCCCCAAGAAAGAAAGAAAGAGAAGGAAAGAGACCCCTGAGTTAGGGGCAATGCCCCGCCGCAGGTCCTGGCGGTGCATAGCTGCCAGCTTGTAACGAAGGAGCAGATCCAAGAGAGAGCGGCTCAAGAGCCTCCCGTCTCTGAGCTGGCCGCGCTCGGCAACGACCCCCTGGAGGGTGCGGGGTTAATTATGTAAGCCTTGCGCGCACCTGGAGGGCGCACGATGTATCGGAGCAAGCTTGAGAAGCTTATAGACGTTGAGGAGCCTTCAATGCGGGGTTTACAGGCTTCTTACAGTGTGTGCAAAACACATAAACAGATGGTAGCCTGGATATATATATATATATGTATATATTATTGAGAGAGGGAGGGAGGGAGAGAGAGAGAGAGAGAGAGAGAGAGAGCGCGATAGTGTTTGTCCTTGAGAGCCCATCTTTCTTAAGTCGATGTTTGGGAAATAATTCAAAAAGCAAAGCACAACTATACCCACACTAGTTTCGTGCGCTTAAGTACCGAAGCAATAAAGCAAATAAACCTGCAGCCTGAGGTAGCACGGGCCCTTTTACAGGAATTTGAGCGACCGTCTTTGAGAAACTGAGCTCCGCAGGCAAAAGGAAGCAAGACAGCCATATGAGGATGGGGAGAGGGTCAATCCAGGGAACATAGTCGCAAGGAAAGCATCGCCTTGACGCTGGGGAGCGGAGCGGGAAGTGGGATGGGGCGGGATGAGAGGGCCAACAATCACAGCCGGAGACGTGGTGTGGTGGTCAGCAACGGAAATGATACTACTGGTTTCATGGGCGCCAACCCCAAGAAGGGGGGTCTGTGGATATTTATGACGACAAGCCTTGTGGTTCAGACTGGGCACACATGTACGGCGTGTCTCTTTCGGCTCTGCAGATACATGGCTTCTAGCTACAGATAAGCTAGCGCAGGTAGCGCCTTGCATCCAACATGTGGCATTGCATCCTCCCGGCAGCGCTGGCCGTTCGCGCTGTGCAGGCACCGTCTGTTAAGATGGTCATGCAGCAAAGCCCTTGAATGACAGAAGCTTAAACCTTTGAATTTTGGCCCTTTTCCCGGGCGTTCTTCACTCGAGCCGCTGCAG